CAGCTGCTCACAGTGGATTCCACTACGGAGTTTATTACCAGTCTCATCATGGGGAATACTACATCCAGCTGCCCAGCCATTCAACCAGGCCCAGCCAAGTTGACACACAAACTTGACTACCACACAGCTGTTTCTTCTTATTTTGAGTTGTGCCACATCAGCAAAAGGAGGTCCTAAAAGCTTTACTTCATCCACACCATTAAGGTAGATCTATTCTGAGGAAGCAGTTCTTTCCTAGTCATATTTTGAGTGCCTTCCAACCTGAGGAAGTCATCCTCTGGCACTATATCAGACAATGTTTCAGAGCTATTTTTCAGTAGTGTATCAGACAGTGTTTCACTGCTATACATAAGGTTTTCACTGGCCAGTTCTTTGAGAAGTGGATGGCTTCTTCCTTCTTCCAAGTCTGTCTTAGGCTGGAAGCTCTGCTGAAACCTGTCCACCATGGCTAACCCTGTTGGCACTTGAAACACTAGTGGCACAGCCTCCAGCCTCACAGCAACACACAAGCCACCACAGGACAACAAACTGACAGACAAGTTCATCTCCTTTAGCTGTTCCAAACTGCTACACTCCCGCCATCTGCTGCCACTTCCCAGCCATCCCTACCAGTTCTGGCTCTCCAAAAAGCCATCTGCTGCTCTTCCCAGCCGTCCCCTATTTAAAGTGGGCTGACTCAGTGGAAAGCCGGAATCAATGAACTGTGCCTTCAAGCTAGATAGGTAGAGACGAGTATTGATTTGGGTGAAAGGAAGGGCAATGTACCAAAAATGAGTGATCGACACGGTAGCATTGAGGAAGAGGAAGACATAGAGAGGTGTATGGGAGGTACAGACAACAAAGATGAACCCTTTTGCACATACAGTACTGCATTGTCAGTGATGGCAAATACTGATCTACGTGTGGATAGATGGGTGGACAGGCTGAATGATTGGGTATGTCTATGCAGGGGGGAATGTGCCCATGACCATGTACAGGGTTGTCAGACAATGTTTGTATAGGTGTATTTGTATATTCTGTAAGAATTTCCAGGTATGTAGTAGAGCTGACAAGGAACAAAATTGTAGTCACTTCTTGGCCACAGCCTGCTACCCAGAGGGAACAAGTAGTTGAACCTGTGGGCTTGGGACCATGGTTTCAGGGGAGATCAAGCTCAATTGGCATAACATAGTACCCAAAAACATTGTTCCACATTCTACTTTGATGAGTAGCAACTGAGATGTTAAAAGCTTGCAAGTGGCCACCTAACCGTGACGATGGGTCTCTCCTCATTCAGAGCAAAGAAGAATGAAGAAAACCAAAGACACATGAAACAATTAGTCCAAGCAACTGGTATACCATGCAATCCTCAACCTATATGACTATGAGACCAGAAGAACTAGATGGTACCCGGCTATCACTGTCAACCACTCAGAGGGGGATCTGTGTAGGAGATCCTGGATAGAATGGGAGAACAATGTGGAACAAAACTGAAAATCATAAAAAATAAAGGGATCATGTTTGCTGATCTGATAGAGGCTAGTGGAACCCCTGAGACTATGGCTCCTAGCTGCCCTTCAGGTCTAAAACTGAACCCATTCCTGTGGCTTCCAGCCAAACAAAAGACAGGAATATGAGCTGAACATTTACATTAAGTAGATACACTCCTTGGAGAGATCAATCATGGGAGAATAGAAGGGCTATGTATGCACAGGGAGACAGCTCAGGAGGCAGGAGTGCATGGGAGGGAAGGACACGAGGAAGAGGTGGCTATGGGGAGGAAGTGGGAGGAGAGCTGCTGCATTGTGGGAGATTGTAGTCAATGTCATGAGACAAAGTATATGTGAACTGCTATATGGAAGATGAATTTGCTCTGTAAACTTTCATCCAAATCACAATCAAATTTAAAAACAACAACAACAATTTGATATATTTAATTTTGGGGGAAAAAAATTCACCAGCCACTCCACAAAGGAAGACAGGGGAAACTACTTCCGTAAAGATTTACTGCCTCGGAAACCCAACAGGAATCGCTATGAGTCAGAATCGACTCGATGGCAGCGGGTTTGGCTTTTTTGTTGTTGTTGTTATATCTAGAGCACTTGGAACAGTGCCTGGCACTAAGCCCTACATGAGTATTCACTACCATCATTATTGCCATGGCTACTAGTAGTCAACACTAGTTGCAATGGTCAACCAACACCTGTTCTGTTCCAGGCCCTGTGTGGGTCCTGAACTGTCCCTGGTGCTGCCCAGATCCTGGTGAAGGTAGGAGCTCCCCTGTGAGGAGTAAAATACACAAAGGTCACAATGATTAATCCCAGACAGGACATGAGGGACACTTTCACAGGGCAGGTGGTATTTGCACTGTGGCTGGATAGGTGTAACTTACCTGTCCAGAGGTGGAGCTGGAAGGAGATTCTAGAGCCCTTGAGTGCCAAGCTAAAGAGTTTAGACTTCATCTAGTTGGCAATGGGGAGCAAGTGGCATGACCTCAGTTCTACAGAGTTCTGTAGAGGTCCACAGAGCTCCCATCTCTTGGCTTTCTTTTGACCAAAGCCTCTGTTTTACTTCTCTCGGATGTCGGTGTAGTATTTGCTCTTTGCTTTCGAAGGACACTTGCTCAGTGTTTGCACAGACTGCATTTGTAAAGAACTCCTAATTAAGTAATAATGTATGTGGGGAATTGCAGTCAGTGTCATGAAACAAAATGTATATGAACTTCTATATGAAAAATTAATTTGTTCTGTAAACTTTCACCCCAATCACAAAAAAAAAAAAAATTAAATAGAATATATAATATAGCACAACATTTCCAATACTCCTACAAGATAGGCTCAACTAGAATATGCCCGGGAGCTCTGGTAGCATAGTGGTTAAGACACTTGCCTGTTAACCAGACAGCTGGCGGTTCAAACCCACCATCCACTCCTCGGAAGGAAGGTTGGGCAATCTACTTCTGTAGTGATAGTGACTTCCGTAGTGACCCAAGGAAGAGTCGCTATGGGTCAGTGCCGACTTGACGGCACATAACAACAACAACAGTATAGGTACTTTAAAAAAAAAAAACTCACTGCCATTGAGTTGATTCCGACTCATAGTGACCCCCAATGGGTTTCCGAGGCTGTAAATCTTTATGGAAGTAGATTGCCCTATCTTCCTTCTCTGGAGCAGCTGGTGGGTTTGAACCACTGACCTTCTGGTTAGCAGCCAAATGTCTTATCCACTGTGCCACCAGAGCTCCAGTATAAGTACTTGTTGTTGTTGTTATGTGCCGTCAAGTCAGCCCTGACTCATAGCGACCCCTCCTTGGGTTTCCGAGGCGGAAGTAGGATTGCCCAACCTTCCTTCCAAGGAGTGGCTGGTGGGTTTGAACCGCCAGCCGTCTGGTTAGCAGGCAAGTGTCTTAGCCACTATGCTACCAGAGCTCCCAGTATAAGTACTAGGCTTACTTATTTCATAAAGTCTATAGGTTGAGGTACTTCGGTCTTTTTTTTTTTTTCTTTTAATCCATTTGGATGTCCATCTAGGCGTGCACTGTCTGATCCACAAGTGCTTCTATTAGTTCATTTGATGATTTGCACAAGGAAATGGCTCCCCCTATTGGTCAGTAAGAGGACAGGTTTAGCAGAGGGCCTCCCTCTTTTCTGAATCATTTTACTCAGGACATTCCATTAATTCAAGTTCCAAAAAATGTTCCATTGCTTGCTTTGATTTCAAGGCCATCTCTGCCTCCCTGAGAATTTTTGATAACATTAAATTTAAATAATTAAAAATTAATTTTTCTCTAAGAATTTCTATTCTCCTAGCCCCGTTCTCACTTTCACCTCCAATACATGCACACGGATTTTGAGACACAGAAATCCTGGGTGTCTCAGAAGACAAAACTGGAAGTTTGCTGCTGGGGGATTATCTTGGTTTCTCCTCTCTCACAGCATGGTTGTACAGAAATGAAACTTCACAGTCAGCAAGACCTTTCATTTGAAGTTAAACAAGGCGTGGGTGGATTTTCCAGTTTATTTCACCACCTAGCAAAGTAAAGGTGATGGAACTCATGTGAAAAAGTGTTTCTGCTTTAACAGCAAAAATCCAACCTCGAGGAGGGGCTGAGGATGGTGGTTGTCTCAAATGAACACAAAGGATGCTAAGAATCCATCAAAAATTTCCTTAGAAGAAAAAGGAATAGATCACTTTGGTTTAATGGTGGCCTTTTAATTGGAATCTCTGACATGAACTTCTTGTTCCAGCCCCCAGGCCAGGAAATAATTCTCTCTCTTTTTTTGCTTTTGGTTTTCCAAATCCTCTTTAGCATCTCTTTCTTCCCTAATAATATCCAGGGCTTAGTACTAAACTTCTGGACAGGGTTCTTTGTTTCTTATGAATGCAGCCAAAAGATTCATTTATACAAGTGTTAAGGACTTACTTTGATATCCCTCCCAGAGAAATTACATTGTAAAGGAAGATCTCAGGGAGAGAGGATAGTGTAGCCCAAAAGAATAATCCTTTCAAGAAAGAAATTTGGGCACCCAGAGGAAAAGAAAGGTAAACCTGCATTGCTGCATACACACACACACACACCAGCCACCCCTGCCCCTGCCATTTCACAGCTTAATTCATTTCAGTTGTCTCTAGTTAGATGGCTGCTTCCATGTGGCCCATCATGGTTCTGCATTAAGTAGGTGCAAAGGTCCACCATTTTGCTAGCTTCCACAGAAAAGTCAGCAAAGTAAGGTATCATGGTCTTTGCAGACAGAAGATTCCAGGGGTTGTGGGAGTGGGGTAAAATCATAAAGTAAGTGGCCACCTATCATCTTGCTGGTTCCACAACTCTAAGGAAGTTCCATCCCACTCTGCCCCTTCTAACCCCTCTTCTCCCAACACATGACCTCCTCCTGTCTGCAGGCCTGTCTTGATCCTTCAGCTCCTTCCCAGCTAACTCTATCCCTTCCCCCATCTCCAACATGAATTTGGTATAAAACAAACTTTCTTCATCTCACTGCCTATGTCTTTCTCCTCCCCAGGCTGAGAAGCCAGACTGCACAGAACGCTTACAGCTGCAAAGAAGACTGGGTTGTCGGATGTTCCATTGGTTTCTGGCCAGCATCTACCCTGAGTTGTACCCATCTGAACACAGACCCAGGTTCTCTGGAAAGGCAAGATATGGCCCATGGCAGAGGGGAAGGAAAGGAAATGCTGAGGGTGAGGTGGGGGAAGCGGGTAGGGAAGCTTCCTAAGAAAGGAGCTGGGTGTTTAGAAATGGTTCCAGCTCCCTTGCTTCTCCACTGACCCTGGTCTACCAATCACAAGCTCAGTGGGGTCTCAGAGACCCTGAGTCCACCTCTGCCTCCATGTCTGCCCCTGAAGGGTTGTCTGGGTCATCCCATAACTCCTGAAGGAGACTTGTGGCTTCTGCTTGACTCCACTTGTTTTTATGATTGGAACATGGCACGTTGAGGTGTGCTTCAAAGAATGAAGGAGAAAAACCATGCCTGGTAGAGGCTTCTTTACAATAGGGATCAAGATCCACTTCTGTGGGTATGTCTACTTTCAGCTCCACAACACGGGACTTGGCTTCTGTGCAGACTGCAAGGCAGAAGGGGACATCCTGGGCTGCCCCATGACACTGGTTCCTTGCAATGACAGCCGGCAGCAACAGGTAATGGCTCAGGGAAGAGCAGCAAGTGGGTGACATTTTTCTGGAGTAGCCTTCACTTCCTTTTGAGATATCTCCTTTCAATGGTCCCATGTCCCTTGCATGCCCATGGGCAGTCCCTCACTGTAATGACTCATCTCTCTTATCACAGTTCTGCCCACCCACCTCAGCTATAAACATAGATATGGGCCATCAACAGCAAATAAAAGCATCCTGGTTAGAAGGAAATTAAGAGCCTATTTAGCCAACCATTTCATTTGACAAAAGAGGAAGTAGAGGTTTAGGGAGTGATCTTAGATCAGGGGCTACAAACTCAGATGCTTCCAGAATTCAGGAAGATAAATGAATGAGCAAAGCGAGCTGGGTAGAGGCCATTGTGACTTGAGAAGCACATACCCCATCCAAAAGGATACGGTTGCATGCCCCTCCTCAGTGTCAACAGAATTTTTGTCTTACATGTAAGTAAACCCAGTATTGTGAGATCATCCAAAGTTTTTAAAGATACTGAAAATCCAAAATTTGTGAAAAAGCTCCTTATTTAAATTTTAAAAACATGAAGCAGAGCCAAAAAAAAAAAACCAATCCCTCAACCCCTATGTGCAGGCAAATTTCACCAGGCACCATTTTGAAACTTCTGGAGCAGCCCCAGATTATCAGCCAACTAGAAGAAGTGGTGGGTCACCCAAGTGGGAACTATGAGCACAGAAGCAGTGAGAGGAAGCAAGAGGAACCCAGAATACATGCCCCATTGCAAATGTGCTCAAACCAGATATTCGTGACTCATGCTCTGAGACTCAAGTCCTGACACTGAGCCCTGCTCAGAGTAGCTGTGTGGTCCTTTAGGTACTTAATGGAGATCTACAGGAGCCAGCTTCTTATCCTAGAGGGTACCTTTAAAGGTACCACAGCTGCCTCATATGTGTCTGTGAAGTGGGGAGGGAGGGATTTAGGGCAAATAGGCCTCAAGGCCCTCAGGCAATCACCTATTTCACTTGCCAGAGGAAGGCTTGTGCTGAATGGGATCATCGGCTCAAGGTTTCAGAGCCTGGGAGTCACTTCATTCAGAATATCTCTTAGACACAGAGCTCTTGAGTTTGTGAAATTCCTTCCACAGGGAGAAAGCCTTTCACTGCACGGGGAGAAGGAAGGCAGACAGCACAAACCCCTGGGAGAGAAGGGAAATAGTACAAAGATTTACTGGGCTGCCAGGCTGGCAAGGAGCCTTGCCTAGAATGGAGGGCACACATCAGAGAGCTCTTGCTTTTGCTTGGGGTGGGAACAAGAGACAGCACTAAAACCAACCCTTGGGTTTCCCTGAGACCCCACACTGCAGTGTGGCTGAGGACCTCAGTCCCCAGCAAGGGTATCCTGGTGACATAAAAGGGCAGCCAGAAAGAAATACCCAACACGAATGGCAGACACTCAGTACACAGGGAGAGGCCCCTCCTTGGACCAGAGGTCTTGTTCAAGAGTATATGTGGTAACCATAGGACAGACTATGGGAAATCAATGCTGCCCTAAGAAATTGAGGAGGCGCCTGGTTAAAATCTAAGCCTAGTAAGGGTGAGCCTAGTAAAATCTAGGCTTCCCATTCCCTGGCAGTTGTTCCTAGATATCTAAAAGGAGATAATATCTTGTAGTTGCCCCATGAGGGGCAGAATCAACTCTGCACCCAAAATTTGGCTCAGATATTGAGACTGATGATATCACACCTGCACCAAAACTTGGGGCAGGCCTCCTAACCACTCTGAGTCTTGGTTTCCTCATCTGTGTCTGGGGTAATGTAGCTCTCCTTCATGCCAGCAGAGTGTTAAGGGTTTTGTTTGTTTGTTTAGATAATTAGCAAGAACTTCTGGTTACAGCAATATTGTGAATTAGATAAACTGAAAGCCTCTCCCTTAAAAACACCTAGATGTGTTAGATAAAAAATACCAACACCCTCATCCATGAATGATGAACTAAAAGGAAATCTCCAGGACTGAAAATCACTGGTCCCCTGAAAATAGAGGCATAAGGGTCTGGGCCAAGCTGCCCTGTCAAGGGTAAGGGGATCCTCATTGTCCGCCTCAGGAATAGGGACACTGGCTGCATGCAGGTATATGCGATGAGAACCTGCCTTCAGGCCATGAGAGATGAGAAGTTGGAAATGAGACCCCCATGTAAGGGAGGACCTTCAAAGGATAATCTTCACATTGTCTGAAAAAAACCTATACACTGCCATGGAGATGACAAGGAAGCTTAGTTGTCTCAATAGTGGATTTGAATAACCTCTTGACAAAATTAGTCTCTCCTGAGATTTTTATTTATTTATTTAAAGATACTTTTAATTTTCTCACATAACAAAAATCTGGAAGTAGGTTGTTTCAGCGTTGGTTAATTTAGCAACTCAGCAATATTGAGTATTTTCAGGTTCCCCCTCATTGTTGCAAAATAGCTGCCACTGCTCCACTTTCACCAGACAACCTCCAAGGCAGGTTGGATGAGAGGCATGAGGGATCTCCTCAGACATGTGATTTTTTTTACGTATGAGGGAGGAAAATCTGTCCCAGAAGCTCCACAATACCCAATAGACCTTCCCTGAGAATTTTTAACCACAAATATGTATCTTATGTGAATTTAGGGCTCAAATTTGTACAAATTTGCATGGCTTGGGAATCCTTAAACAAGGCCATCTACATAATTTGCAGAGATTAATGCAGAATGAAAATGCAGGGCCTCTTATTTAACAATTAATAAGAATTTAGAGACAAGTGATAAAAGAGAATTGGTCCAAGTGTATTAAACCAAGAACATAAAACCTTTCTAAGCATGAGGCCCCGTGTGACTGTACAGGCTCCATGCCCATGAAATTAGTCCTATCTCCAAGCTAAAAAATTAACATAAGAATATGTTCCAGGCTGCACTTGGCAGAAACAAATACAAAATGGTTTTGTCAGGACATGCTCTCCAAACAGGCACCACAGTTAAAACCCCTTGGCAAATGGACTCACAATCCAGTATTATAAATAGAAGAAAATAATAACCACAAGTGAAAGTCAGCAGATACAACAAACAACAGGAAAATTAGTTACATGGGTAGGCCAGATCATTCCCAAAAGAGATCAGCTTGGAAGTCATAGAGGTTTCTCATCTGCCCTTCCAATACAGTAAATAGCATAATGGAGGAACATGCCAGAATATGTAAGTATGAATGCAACAGCTTCTGGAAGGTGAAGATTTCAGAAGTAAGGGCTAGTATATCAGCTTACTGTGGACTTGCCACGAGACACAGTCTTGTTGACTCCAGTAGGATCAGAAGACTGTCACTCGGGCCCAGCTCTATTGTGCACTGTCTTCTCATCTTCGGCCTTCGAGGGGAGGGTCTCCTTCTAGCTGTGCTGACAAATGTCCCCTCTGCTCCAGCACCTGCAACACACCAGCAGGAAGGAGATACACTTTGGCAGCCTGTGCTTTGATGTCAAGGGAGAGCAGGTGATTCTTCAGAACTGCACCGAGGAAGGCCCTGTCATCCATCGGCAGCACTGGGACTTCCAAGAGGTAAGCAATCAGTCCAGGAAGGGCTCAGCAGTGCTGCTGGCCAGAACTTCTGGGCACTGCTACATCCTAGGCTCTTCTTGATCAAGGGGTCAGGTTTTGCCAAACAGGCCTCTGTTGTCAAACTTCATGGCTTTATTCTAAGGCCAAATCAGATATACCACCTTTTTTCCTTCTAATGCAAATTCCATTGTGAGTGTTTTATCATTTTAATAAGACTTCGATTCCTATTACTCCCAGAAGAGAAACTCTGTATTTTTGCCAAAAGTTGTGTATCAATGAGAGGAAACAGGAGGAGTAGATAGTACCTTAGGAAGAGGGTGATAGATATGGGACTAGGATAGGAAGGTGACAGTATCAACAATACATGGACATATGCAGCTTTTTCTCCATTTCAAATCCTTTCTGAAATGAGTTAGAGTATAAATACACAAAGTACACATATCAGTTTTTCTTTCTTTTTTTCAACTTCTTCTTGGGGATGATGATATAATTTAAGCTGTATCATAGCACGCAATTGAGAAAAAAGCTCTTGAAGTTTTGATGACAAGTACACTTAGTACTCATGGGACCAACACATGCCCAGAGAAAACTTAGAAACCAAGTTAGGGTCTACAGTGGAAAGGGTCATTCTAAGAAATTCCTGTGAATAGGATATGTTTTAGAAATAGCATTTAAAAATAACAAATAAAAGATTAGTGAATAAGATATTCAGCATATTCCAAGCATTAAAAAAATCAAAAATGTTATTATCAGAAATCAAATATTTCTGTGAAAAGGGGGTAATTCAATTCAATATTAGATCTGGTGGTTTTAGGCAGAGAGTGGCCATAGTCTTTCAAATATGGTTGGCTCGGATATTCAGTGGATCCTTGAAATCTTTCTGTTACAACCTTGTGGCAGCAAGACTGAATTACAGGCTTAATCAAACCCGAAAACAAAACTCATTGCTGTAAAGTTAATTCTGACTCATGGTGGCCTTATAAGACAGAGTAGGGCTGCCCCATAGAGTTTCCAGGGCTATAATCTTTATGGAAACAGACTGTCACATCTTTCTCCCATGAAGCATGTCTGGTGGATTTGAACCATCTACCTTTTGGTTAGCAGCCAAACGCTTAATCACTATGCTACCAGGGCTGACAAAATCCTTTTGAAAACAGGAATTTATAAGTATAGTGGCAATAAGGAAAGTCAAAAACACAGCATGAAGAGTGAGCACTGACATGCTATTAACCTGAGCTCTCTAAGAGTGGCACATTTACACAACCACAATAATTATAATGAAGTTAATGACCCCAAGGTTCTGAATGACATCCAACTGTTAGGGCTGACTAAATTATCAGGAGCTCTGGTGATGTAGTGCCTAAAGCATTTGACTGCTAACCAGAAGGCTGGCGGTTCAAACCCACCAGCCACTCCTAGGAGGGAAGGTTGGGCAATCTACTTCCATAATGATTTACTGCCTTGGAAACCCAAGAAGGGGTCACTATGAGTCGGATCTGACTGGACGACAATGTGTGCGTATCTAAATTATCTTTTATAATAACTAAAATACTACAATTACTTACCAGGCCAGTTCACACTGTCTTTATTATGCTATTAATAATTAGCACAAACTTTAGAAATGTGGTTTTTTTTTCTTTTGTTTGTTTTGTTTTGTTGCTGACTTCTTGTTGGGGATTGTTTTCTTTTTTCCAGAATGGAATGATTGTCCACATCCTTTCTGGGCAGTGCATTGAAGCTGTGGTGCAGGAAAACAATAAAGATTTGTATTTGCACCAGTGTGATGGAAAAGCCAGCCAGCTATGGCAATATGACCAAATCAACGCTGTGGATGAACAATGAATGCCAGTGGCAGAAGGAAAAGAAAATTTTGACCATCACAGTGCAGCTCCAAGGGAACTAAAGAGCATGTATATTTCATGAAGCAGATCTCTACGCTTTTGTACTTCTGGTGATAAGAAAGAATATAAAAAGTCTGTCCTTCTTGCCTCTTATTTCATCAAGAGCTGGCTATTTGAAAAGAAAAAAAATTGATTTATTATCTCATTGTCTTCATCACATCACTGGAGGATAATTCATAGTATAGAAAGTTCTTCATTTTTTTTTTTTTTCCATTGAATGCTTAACAATTGCTTTTACTTCTGACTAGAGAAAGAAACTTGGACATTTCTAGCAGCATACATAGATCCAATGGGTCATATTTTTGTCTTCCAAAGGCCTTACCTTGGATTTTCTGTATAACCAACAATGAAACTCAAAGTGTGAAGAGTGTGCAATGGCCTGAAATCCCAAATACTTTGGACTAGGCTTACTATTAGCATGAATTTCTTGCCCACTGGTGAAAAAAATAGCTCAGAAGGAAGAGTAGGGTCAGAGTGAAGATGGATGAGAGCTCTGGCCCAATAATCAGGCTCAGCCTAGAAGCTGAAAAGAGTCAGTAGACTTGAGACAAGGTGTTTTCACATTTATGAGAATTTCCTTGAAATTTTCTACCTCTGCCCACCCTGTCCTAGCCTTTCTCTAGCTTAGCTACCATAACCATATTCCCTTGCAATGTATTCTCTTTAATCCTCATTGTTGGAAGGATCAGCCAAGACTGAGCATGGCATCAACAAAAATGTTTACAGCTGAAAAACTCTCCTAACTCCCTGTTACAGGGTTTGCATTTACTGGATCATTAACAGCAACCTTTGCAAAATGGCAAACGTCCCTGAGAAGGAAATTACAGAGTCTAAGCTAAAATTCTTATGAGAGGAAACAGAGTTGGGTGTAAATGTCAATGAAATGGTGACAGGGCCATCCCTGAGCCCATAAGAACAGTCTGGGACCTCCAAATGTGCCCACAGTTTGCAAGTGTGAGAAGAAAGGGCATATTGGCTGGTGTGTCTGACATCTCAACAAGGACAGAACCAATTCTAAGAAAAGCTGAATGACTTTCCTTGCTATGACCTTGTCTACCTAGTTCAGCCATAAGAAGTGCTGAGTGAGGTTGATTCTGCTATTAAGAACATGCTGTTCATGCCCATTTCTCTCCCAGATGGAGTTCACTGTCCACATGGTCAGCCTGGAAACCTCCCCCTCCAGTGCTGATCTCCTATGGGCTGTTTCAGAACCCAGAGTGTTTCAAATGAGAAAAACTAGGTAGAAAGTGTGGGTTTCCAAACAGTGCCTATCATAATTATGTATTCCTTCTTCACTGCTTAAGTCAATGGTATACTGCACTTTTCCTTTCTCAGAATACACTCTAGACCAGTGCGGTCCAATATGGAAACCACTTGCCACATATGACTATATATATTTAAATTCATGAAAATTAAAGACAATTTAAATCTCAGTAGCTCAGTTGTACTGGCCAAATTCCGTGTGCTCATTAGCCACCATATTGGCTACTATATTGTACAGTACAGATATAGATCATCTCCATTATTACAAACTGTTCTACTGCACAGTGCTGATCTAGATAGATTCTTCATACCATCTAGAGAAGTGATTTCATCCACGGTTTTCCTGCCTCAGACCTGTCTGTATTTAAAAGAAATTCCTATGGCATTCTGAGGCTGAGCTAGAGCCAAAAATGCTCACATGACAACCTTGTAAAAGGTATTAACGGTTAAAGAATAAACATTAAACAACACCTTTATTTTTTTAAATGAATTTTGTTATTGGCACTCTGGGTGTCTGATGTTGCTGGGATAAATTAATATAATTAAATAAAAGGCTGAATTCAATTACGTAAGTTGTGTTTGACAGTAATTAACAAAAGAACCCAGATGGTGTATTGCTTAATTGGTCGAACAAAGCAAGATTGTGGTGTTTCTTGCTTTCTTAACCATCCCCGTGATTTATTACTTTATTACAGAAGTGGTTGTCAACTTGGTCCCTGGCTAGTACTTACAGACCTTTAACTGAAACAGAACAGATTGCCTCTGTTGAATTCTAAAAGAAATTCAACCTTCTCATCATAGTGTAACCAAGTATTCAAATGCCCTCCTACTTTGTGGACTCAGGTTTAATATCATCCACAATTATCAATTTAAAACTAGAGAAACTTGGAAGTTGGGAGACTGATTCCCAAGAGTTTGATCTTCATGTTCACCTGACTTTTATGATTAGGCTTTATTATTTAGTTTCTAAGGTCAAATGTCAACATCACCGCCACTAAGTTAATCAACGGAATCCCACCAGGGAGAATGGAGAGCAGTGTTCAGCCAGCAGTCTAGGGTTCAACATTCTTTATGTTATTTCACAACAGCAAAAGCAGATGTCATCCTTGGAGAGGACCTGATCTATTTCTTCCTTTGTCCCATTCCTGCAGATGCCATTGGCCAACTCAGAATTCCAACCTCCATAGACATCAAAACTCATCCAGGTCCATGATGAGGGTGCCATCACTGCACCAGAACTTGGCATTTTTAGAAGTTATTGTACTTTTACAGGTACAAAGTTTAACAAGATAGAAAATAACAAATGATGGCGAGAATATGGAGAGATTGGGACTCTCATACACTGCTGGTGGAACTGTAAAATGGTACATACACTGTGGAAAGCAGTATACAAATGCAACACACTGCCATTGAGTCAGATCCAACTCACAGCGACCCCTCCTTGGGTTTCCAAGTTATTTACGTATTATTGTACTCAACTTAAGGAGGCTCCATTTTCAAATGAAACCATGAAAAAATAGTTGGACATCAAGTGATCTGTGATGGGTGTCAAATCTGAATAAAGGCAGACTACTGTCAGTGGGCTATCTTAATTGACACAGCTCTATATATTATGTAAACTGTTTATATTTATTTTTTAAATATTCTTTTAAAAATGCAATTTGTTTGGGCTACTTTTGATGGAAACCCAAAGCCTACAAGTCTTGCACTGATTGTGTTAACATCTGGATTTAAGCATATTTTAAATGAATAGCCAAGCAACTGATATTTTCAGCATTCAAGACCCCTCTGCTATTTCTGTATTAATAACAACCCCTCCAATCTCCAGCCACCTTGGCAGTTGTGTTCTTTGAATAAGGAGGTGCATCTTAGCATTAATATTGTGAGAACCTTTGCTGGTGTGGTTGTTCTTTTTACAGAGAGAGGATGTTTATATTTTTACATCATCAAAGGCTCTATGTAATGCAAACATACTATGCTATCACACATATAAATAGTTTGCCTGACTTTCTTTGGCTTAAAACAAGGATCATCATTGTCACTCAAACCTGTATTGTGGTACTTTGCAAGCTTAACCTAACAGACCAGATTCATGTTTGAAAATTGCAGCTCCTCACAATTACCAAACTCTTCACCCAGCTTTTAGTCAGCTGATATTCCAGGACTGGTGGAAAATGCTGAAATGGTAGAAAGAGAACAGGACTAACTGCTGCAGCTTTGGCACATGAAAGGTCATTAACTTTTCAGTAAAGAACAAGCACATCCTTTACTTGAGAGATCCCCATGAAGAAAGTGCTGACCACTCTCCTTTAGACACAGGCCTAGAGCAGTGTTGCTTAATGTTCCACTCAAATAAGATCCAGCAGAGCCTGAGCAGCTTTCTTTAAAGTCATAACCTGCCCAGAAGACATGAATAGACACTTCACCAAAGAGAATACTCAAGCGGCCAACAAACACTTGAAGAAATGTTCACGATCATTAGCCATTAGAGAGATGTAAATCAAAACAACAATGAGATACCATCTTGCCCCAGCACTAATAGCAAAGTTCAACAAGACAGAAAATAACAAATGCTGGTGAGGATGTGGAGATATTGGAACTCTTATACTCTGCTGATGGGACTGTAAAATGATACACCCATTGTGGAAATCAGTATACAAATGAAACACATTGCTGTCGAGTCGGATCTGACTCATAGCGACCCCTCCTTGGGTTTCTAAGGCGGTATCACTATGGAAGTAGTTTGCCCAACCTTCCTTCCAAGGAGTGCCTGGTGGGCTTGAACCTCCAGCCTTCTGGTTAGCAGTCAAATGCCTTAGGAATTAGAAATACCATTTGATCCACCAACCCCATTACTAGGTATATATCCTAAAGAAGTGAGAGCCAGGACAAGAACACCCATGTTCATCACAGCACCATTTACAATAGCAAAAAGATGGAAACAACTTATGTGCTGTGATAGTTGGAGCTGTGTGTCAACTTGGCTGGACCCCAGTTCTGTGTGGTTGTTCCCATGATGGGATCAGATGACTGTGTTCTGAGTGGCCAGTCTGCCCAAGGGGAGTTTCCCTAGGGGTGTGGCCAGCTTCCAAGATATCCAGGGACATCCTGGGAAGAGACACATTCTTTGAGGGATTGGAACCCTGGTGTGCGGACTACAAACTTCCGTGGTGAGCAGCCCACCGCTCGGCCTGGAGATCTTGGATTCGTCTTTTGTTGGGGTCAACAACCAGTGTACTGCCTGCCAGCCTTGAATTTCTCGGCCCCCTGCGCTTATGGAAGCTAAGGCTGCCGCCAGCCCGTTTCCTCCAGAGACTTGGACTTGCCAGCTTCTAAAGCTTGTGAGCCATTTTCCTAAGATAAATTTCTCTCTCTCTCCCTATAAATATATATATATACACTTTGCTAGTTTTTGTGTTTCTCTAGAGAACCCAATCTAACACATGTGCCCACCAACAGAAGAATGGACAACTAAACTATGGCACATACACACAGTGGAATACTGTTCTGGTTACCTAGTGCCACTCTGGCAGAAATACAGCACAAATAAGAATGGCCTTAACAAACAGAAGTTTATTCTTAAAATTTGGAGGTTTTAAGTCCAAGTGCTAGGCTCTAGGGGCTGGGTGAAATCCCCTCAACCTGTGGTGCAGCTCTGCCTCCTGCTCCCAGCCCACT